AAAGTCTCCACACTCCCCCATTGGAGGCTTGCCCTCTTCAATTTGGCTGATTCTGAGTTCTAATCTTTAAAATAAACTAGTAATAGGAAGTAATCTCCTAATTTCTGGTAAATTGTTCCAGTGAATTATTAAACCTGAAGGAAGGTCATGGGAATGCTGGAATTTGTAGTTGGCCAGGCAGAACTATGGGTACCCTAGGCACCTCATTTGCAGCTGACATCAGTATTGAAGCAGTCTTGTGGAACTGAGCCCTTAACCAGTGGGGTCTGAGTTAGCTCCCGATAGTGTTGTAATTGAACTGAGTTCTTGGACACCCAGTTGATGTCAGAGACTCAAAGAACCGGTTAGGTGAGAAGAAAGCCTTTTAATAATAATACTGAACTAAGGCTCCAAATGTAGGCTTGGACTTAGACTCAGGTAGGAAGAAATTCTTTCTCCTCTGAAACTTAAATGTAACTATGGACATCAAAGATTTCATTATAAGAAAGACCTATTTTGACCCTCCAGTGGGTCTAAATCCCTCACTCAACTTCTTTGCCTGCTCTGGGGGCTATTGGAATGATAAGAAAATAGGTACGTGTGAACTATCCAGAATGGAGCCCTGTAGATTATAGGTACCTTAATAATGGCAATTTATTTTATTCAGTCCCCCCCATTACAGTACGGAAGCCTGATAACAATACCAAGGTTCACACTGAATACAGAATATTCCAGTTTCCCATGTAACATAATCAGTCAAGGGCATTCCAAAGTACTTAATAATACTCAACCTTTCATTAATTTGGCAAAATTCTACTGTACAATTACCATATGCCAGCTGTTATTGGTATACTCATCACCTGGTATACTGCTGGTCCAAGAGCCACACTTTGAATAACAAACAGATGAGCTGCCAAGTCCTAGCAGCAGGACTTTGTATTCAGAACTATAGAATGAGGGATGCCAGTTTCTAGTGTCTCCACAGGTTGGTTGTACCCAGTCCTACTGTTTCTGGTTACCTGTGAATTTAAAGCCTTTTGGCTTATCCCTTTTTTTCAAATTACTACCAGTTGCTTTGAGAGCTCATTGAAGGTCTCCTTATTTCCACTATTCAGTTTTGCATGTGTCAGGTGGTGCTGCCTATGGGACACACAAGTGGAGTCCAATAGGCAGTGGAGATCCAAGTCTACAGAACAGAGACCAACCTGTGGAGACACTAGAAACTGGTGTCCCTCATTCTACAGTTCTGAATAGAAAGTCCTGCTGCTAGGACTTGGCAGCTCATCTAACTCTTTGTTATTCAAAGTGTGGCTCCTGGACCAGCAGTATACCATCACCTGGCAGCTTGTGAAATGCAGAGCCTATGGCCTCCTCACACTTAAGTCAGAATAGCACTTTAGCAAGATCCCCAGGTATTTTGTATGTAATTAAGGTTTGAGAAGCCCTGGTTTAATTAGAATCAGAAGTCCCACTTCAGAATAATTAAAGTGGAATTTCCAGGAGTGGGGGACCTAGGCCTGGATATTTCCATCAATCTCTTCAAAAGGTTCTGGTGTGCAGTCTGGGCTGAGAACCACTGATCTCTTTTACTCTTTCCATGTTCTCTCTTCTTCAGAAACCCATCTCTAGAGAGATGTGCAGTTCTTCAATAGGATGAAGGCATGTAACTCAAACATGCTTTATTGGGAACAGTCTGGACGTATTCACAGTGCCCTCCCTCCGTCTCAAAGGTATCCTGTTTTCCATAGCAAATTATATATTCTACCTTCATGAAATTAAATGGCTCTGTGCTTTCCATTTCTGGATTGTTAAGTCATAATAAGAACAGGTAGAACAAGATGGCAGATGCCCTTTGGTTTGACAGAGGAATCAAATATAGAGTGACTTCTAATACTTAGATATTAGTCCTTAAAGTCTTCTAGGTATAAATTCCTCAGTTGCAAGGAAGGTTAGGGAGAATTAGACTTCTCCCAAGAACTGGGGTTGGATGGAGTGTAGTTATATTCTACCATGAAACTATCAAAGCCAATGGTTGATTAGCCTCAAGCTGATTATCAGTTCTGTGATTATCCTATCCCTGAAAAAAAAAATTCCTTTCCTTTCTCTTTGGATCCTCTATTGTTCATTAGCTACTCTGCCCATGGGCTCCAAAGTACAAGGGAAGACAGTGAATAAAAAGTTAATCTAGTAGTTCCGCTAATAAATTGGGTGAGAAAGATGTACCCAATCCTGCTCTTTCTGGTTACCTGTGAATTTAAAGCCTTTGGCTTATCCCTTTTTTCCAAATTACTTACCAGCTGGTTTGCGAGCTCATTGAAAGTCTCCTTATTTCCAGTAAAATTAATCTTATATTTTTAAAACTATGAAATCTTCTAGGCTACGTCCTTCCTGATTTTCCTAGGACCCAAAATGAGGGCAAAGCATCATTTATCTTCTTATCTCCTTCCCTTACCACCATTTCATATTTTTAAAAAATTTTTTATATAGGTAAGAAATTATCTGACATCAACTTATGGCATAATTATTTATGCAAAAAGACACAAATGAAAAGTCCACATGTAGGAGATCCAGGAACATACTGATTATATCACAACTTTTCCTAGTTGAATCACTAGGTTAGTTCTGAATACTTTTGCAAGGCAACGAGTGTAAATGTCTACAACATGCTCTGTTCACGTGTGCTTAAGATGTCTGGAAAAGAAATGACTCATGTTCAAAATAAAATAGCCAGATGCTGATAAACCAGCTGAGAGGAATTCTGGCAAAATGACTTGAATGTAGATGGCAATTGAGTTAGGGTGTGCAAACATTAAAAACTACCTGTTGAATTGGAATAAGCTTATCAATGGAATCTCTGCAGATTACAGAGTTACTTTAAAGGGTGTCTGCATGTGTGCATAGGCATAGAGGTAAGAGCAGAGTGGGTGTTTATCCTCTGCTTTCTGGGCTACAAATAAGAACAAGCTGAAAGGGTTGGAAGGATTCTCTCTGCAGCTGAGAAAGCAATACAAGCTAGTCTCTCCCTGTTGGGCCTGGATCAGTAACAACACCAGCAGCTTGAGAACATGTCTTATCTTTGATCTCTGTTAACAGTTAACCAAAGGCCTTTCCTTCCAGAGCTCTTGGGAGGGAGAAGTAGGTGGTCTTATAAAGTTACATTTAGAGGGAGCCCCCAAACACTCCAGTGCAAGTGTCTAGGTAAAGCTGTGCAATAATTAACACAGGGAGGCCTGATAAGAGAAGGTTCTTCCTTTTCCTTAGGTGTTTGGATTTCTTTAAAATTTTTACTCTATGTTATCTTGACCTCTGCAATAGGACTTAAGTTGGTGAGTCAATGATGTGCAATATTTTAACAAGAAGTTCTATTTTAATATAACATTTTTAGGTAGTTCATGTGCTAAATATTCTGAGGCACAATTAATTAGGCTTGGGAAAAACTCAAAGTTACTCATGATTAGAAAGCAAAGTAATATCAGAGATCAGAAGAGCAACATCAATGAAGGGACTCCCCAACCATTCAAATTTATAAACACTTTAAGCCAACAAGATGCAATATTTTCAGTAATGGGGAATAAGATGAACATTATTTAGGTTTTCTTTATCCACACAACCTTCTAAATACAGGCCTTTAGAGTTTTGGGCTTCAAAAATCACCACTTTTTATGCTTTTATGGACCACTTCAGAGAGATACTCATCTGGGTATAGAATTATTTTCATGCATGTCTCCTGGCCTGGGCTTAGGGAGGAGAAGTACATAGAAGTAAGCAAGTATCATAACAATTTACCCTGTGCAAATAGGGAAAAGAATGTTCAGAAAAAATAGCCCTGAGTCAGAATGAGTCAGAGCTGGGGAGGCCAGGAATATCATTCCTCACCCTGTACGTAGCTGTGGACTTCCAGGGCTTGCTTCAAGCTCCCTTCCCAACATGGGATGTAGAAGAGTGCTTTATTCGGAAAGAGAGGGTAAGCCTCCATCTAGCTCTTGCATGATTTGGTACTATCTTGGGCAAAATGTACTTACCAGAAAATTATTTTGGCAGAACATGGCCCCTTCATGGCATGGAGTGCCTGTGATCTTGGGAGGAAGGACCCAGGGCTGAAGCTGGCAATGTGTCCTGCCCACTCATGCTCCCAGTGACCCTGGAAACAGCTCTCTGGCCTCTCCTTCCTCATTTGGGATTGTTTTATTCCAGATAAGTCTTTTGGCTATAAGTCTGGTGCAAGGATCTATATAGCACCATTATGGCCAAGTTCCTTGAGATTCTCCAAAGAAAGATAACCATGAAAACACAAATTAACTAAATGAATGACAAAGAAACAGTGTCTTATTCCATCCAAAAGCATATTATAGCTGGAAATTCTGAGCAACTCCACAATGAGAAACAGTATTTCTCTGTTTCTCTACTTTTCCACAAAGAAGTATATGCAGATATTTCAGCTCAAAGAATCATCTTTTTGAGGACTCTGCAAAACCCAAACTGAAGCATAGACCAAGGAGCCAGGAGCAGTCAACAGCAAAGAGTGATGTTCCCAATATCACAGTGGGTTCTTTTTAGTACTAGTCAATATTGTCTGGTGCTTAATGACTAGGGGAGTGGGGAAACTTATGGTTGAGCTATTTGTGATTACTGAAATGGCCTCAGAGAGGAAGCCAAGGATTGCATCTACACTGTTACTTCCAGGTTATGGTCCAATTCAGAGTTTTCAAAACACTTGGAGATGCATAATTTACACAGGAATAATCAGACATTCAACTAGTTTGACTCTAACTTGAAAAAATTTTTAACTTATCTATACAAAGTGCCTTTTCTTAGTATCACCCCAATCAAACTGCAGAACAGTCAAGAGAGCCAAGTTGGGAAATAGTGGTCTGAACTTGTAAATGCTAAAAAGCAGTTTTTTGGTTTGCCATCAACTGAAGCTTTCAACATGCCTTTCCATTAAAGGCCCATGGAAGATCTTGAAATTTCCTAGGAGTGGTGAGACACATAGTGTGGAGGGAATAGCTCTGCTTTTGTACCTGTGGTTCCTGGTCATGACCGCTGGGATCCCTCTCGTAGCTCTCTGCATACAGCCTGATGGTGGCTCTCACGCCACTGGAGGAACTAAGCCTGAAGATGAGCCGTGATGCATCCGAGAAAATGATCCTCAGGCCCTGAGACCAAAGACATCCAAAATGGATCAGTGAACAAATGATCAAGCAGATGATAAGTAACTCCAACCCACTGTGGCAATCAGCATGAGTCTACGATCTAAAAAACATGAGGGTCATGACAACTATTCACTGGCTTTGTGTGTTTACTCAAGAGGAACAGTATGGTAAACCTAAATGCTTCTTGAGGTTGTCCACTTGTCTCTTCATTCTATTTCTGTTGCTCTGTGGTTAATGTTGGTGAGGGTTAGGATCAAAACTATGAGCAGATGCTTAAGTTTCCCTGGTCTGGTGATGTGAAAATCAGGAAGAAGTAGGGGTAACAAGATAGAATGGTATTTAATAAATGTTCTTCAAGTCAAAGGGCATCCTTTACAAATCTTCTAGATTCAGGTAGGCAATTTATCCATTTCAGTTAGAAAAATTGTCCATGTTCAGGTGAGGGTTACCCCACATATTGTTAGATGTTGCTTTAAGCATGTCTCTTTGCTTTGTTCTGGGTTTTTTCCTCATTCCCACATTCTTCTGGTAGTAGTTGAACCCCACAATGAAATGCTCAGGGCTGCAGCCTCAGCTGAGTGGACGGTGGCTGAGCACACCCTCACCCTTATGGCTCTCTCCTCTCTTCTCACCTCTAAGTCCTGGCTACCAGGATAGGGTAGGAACCTAGCTAGAGCTGCCCAATGTTAGTTCATTTTTGGTTCGGAATGTCCCTACTCTCTATATTTCCTCCTATTTGTGGTAGGGTTATTTAAATATAATGACCATAAGATCACATTTTGACTTCTGCTGAAGGAAATTTGTTCTCCTAAGACAACTGATAAATTATTATTAATAAGCATGTTGACAGAGGCCAGAGAGTGAAAGAGAAAGGAACAAGACGGTGACTTGCTGCTTCTTAAAATGTGAATGTCTTGGGCAACTTTGCTTTAAGCCTTCTCCCTAAACAACTTATCCTTGAAACCTCTGGCCTCAAATTCTGCCTGTTAAAAAAAGTAAGGCATTATTAAAATTGAATCATAACTGCTGCATAATTCTGAGTGCCAACTTCTTACCCCTAGTCCCACCTGATGATACCTGATGGAAGCAGATTATGGTTCCATTTGAGTTGTTTTCTGCTTGTCTAGGTTTAATAAGCATATTTTGTTCCATCCCCAAATAAAAAGCTTGAGTTTCTTTTAGAGAAGTTCAACAAAAACAACAGGGAGCCATCTCCCTTAGTGGCAACCAATTACTCTATTGACTTTGCAAGCAGGGTAATACTGTCCAGGATTCATTCATTTGGAAAACCTTTTAGGGTGGTTTTTATGGACTACGCCCTGGATTAAGTCCTGGGTATGTGGAGATAAAGACACAGTATATGCTAGTTTATTAAAATAATTAGACACAGTTTTCTTAACTACCTTTTGCTGTTAGAGAAGTAAATGGTCAACAAAATTCCAACTGAAGCAAATGAACAAATTATCTATGATCTGGAAAGCATCACATCATATTATATTCAAACTGACAATAAAGCCCCAAAGGTTCCATAGTTGTGTTCACAGTGATGTTTTTACAAACACTTTTGAAGCTGTTATTCACTTTTAATCTTGCATTCCCAATGTCACCCTGTATGGAACTCACCAATATGAAACTCACTGCTCAGGACTATGGCTTACATATTAATTGGTTTAAATAATTCTAAAGCTGAGTCAATAACACATTTATTGTTGCAGATTCTAGATAACTTGGGGCCTCTTCTTCCAGTGATCTTCCAGACACAACCCTTTAAGGTCACTTTCATTATACAATTAACCTCTTAGATTAGTTTATGGCCCCTGAGAGGTATTTAATAATTCAAGTCATAACAAACCATCCATATGTGTTATCTGCTCAAAACAGACTTTACATAATGAAATCATGCTATTTTTTTTCTTGAGGGTATTCATAATAACTTTGGTTATGCCACATGCTATACTCATAGAAGACCCTCTGAATCTATATCTGGTAGGCAAGAATAGATTTTTCCCTTGAAAAACTAAAGGAGTAAATAGCAGACATTAGCCCACCAGAGATAGTTCAACATCTTCTCTCTTTCGTAGGAAACCAACCATGAGATCTAAACTGAGAATCCATGTTGTTTAGGAGATCATTTCAGGTGAAGAATATCATAGTTCTTCTTCTCCAGAAGGAATGTCAGGTTTTTAAAATATGATGTTTTTTAAACACAGGCCATTCTTGTGTTTCAAAAAATCCCAGAACTATGTCCTTAATGTGTGATTAGTTGAAAAGGATTGCTTTGAGATCTGCATGTTCCTTACATGAGCCTCATGAGCCCCAAACAAGAGCTATGTTCTTTCCAGTGTGAATCACCACCTGCTATCCATTATGCTATGGGGCAAATGTCATCACTAACCAAGACTTGTCAGGTTTCTAACTCTTAAGTTAAACAAAGTATTAATCATATAATTTGCCTTTATTTTTTAGGTTACAGCAGGGGTTGGCAATGTACTAATTATAAGTGGAATTTGACCTGCCACCTGTTTCTACAAATAAGTTTCAGTGGAACTCAGCCATGCCCAATCAGTTATATATTGCCTGTGGTTGCTTTTGTGCCACAAGAGCAGAGATGAACAGTTGTGACAGAGGGCATCTGGGCCACAAGGCCTAAATGTACTACCTATCCCTTTACTTCAACATTTGCTGTCTCCTGGTGTAAACCATAACATTATCCACAGCATAGAATATTTAGCTTTCAACCCTACACCAGACAATAGAAAATATAACTATCTGCCTTATCAAAATCTCAATAGAGAGAAATTGTGTGCCGAAGTCCGGCTGGGCAAAATAACCGGGAGGTGACAAGCAACTTGAAGGTTGAAGCGGGAACTGCTTTATTGCGGGGGAACTCAGCGGGAACTGAGCGGGAACCCAAGGTAGCGGGAACCGCTTTATTGCGGGACAGCAGAGGTATATATACCTAACTGATTACACACAGCTTGACTCAATTAGCATCATCTAGACACAGCAATCAGCCAATAAGGAATCCCCACCATCTAAATGGCTTGGCAGTGTTGCTTCACAAACCACTCCTCCTGGCAAACTGCCAGGCGCTATCTTGACTTGATTTGCTGTCCCCAACATTGTGTTCATGACAAATTTATCAGGGTATCCATTTCCTCCATTTCCAGATGTTCCACCTTCTAGCCATAAGTTCATCTGGATATATTTGGCCCCAATCAACTTCTGATCATCTATGCTTGACAGAAATGAATTTATTAAATTGCATTTTAGTTTTGTATTCTCACTCTTATTGTGTAGTGCTGCAAGGCACTGTCTTATAAAGTCCATTTTCATAGTAACTATAGGAAGATTGTTAGAGACTGTATGAAGCTTCATGTAAGACATTTCCTCAAGAGCCAAGTGTTAGAAAAGCCTTTCTTTCCTGAGGAACTGATCTTCCTTTTCTTTCTGATGACAAGTACTTTGTAATTAACCATATTTCCCTTTTCAATATGGCTGCCAGGATACTTAATGCTAAGTTTGAGGTTCAGTACAAGTGGATCCTTATGACTTGCATAACTGTGAGTTTTTCTTCTTCTTTTCTTGACTCTCTAATTTGTATATTCCCTAGTCTTGATTTCTGTTTCTTATTTACATTCTAATAACTTCATTATGTTTTTGCTGCCACAAATCCTCTTGAAGAACCGAGTCCTACAGTAGATGAATAAAATGAGTTCCCCTTGCAGCCTTAACCCTAAAATGTTGGAATTTGCTCAGTTTTGTCTTTGAGTCTTTCCTTCACTGACATGTTCTGGGAGGGCAGAACCTTGCTTACCTCCACTTTACCTGCCTAATCTAGCACAATACCTGGCACACAATAGGTCTTCCAAAAACACTTGTTGAATAAACATCACTGCATGTTCAATACCAGGTGTGAACACACCAGGGGCCCCACCAAGGCAGTCTCTGAAGGCCTCCCTCCACTTTTAGCAAGGGCCCACAGGCCAAATGAAAACACATTCCTCATGGTGAATTGGAACAAATGTACCCACCCCTGAAAGATAGTTGTGGAAAATAAAATTATAGAAATTATGTGGCATATCATTATGGGAGCTTCTCTAGTGTATCTTCCCATTCTTCATTTCTCAAAATATTCTGAAACAAAGCTGGGGCTTGAAAAACACAATGAAGTTGACTCTAGGTAGCTTCCCATTACTGGTTTCACAATCTTGGACAAATTACAAACTTTGCTGCACCCTGGAATTAGCCAGGAGGATCTTTTTAAAAATGGTGGTGCCAAGCTCTTGCTCTCACCCCAGGCACTGTGGTTTAAGTTGTATGGGGAAGGGGTTTAAAAGGGCCCTTCAGTTCTGGCCCAGCATTTCCCTTCCTCCTGAGTGCCTGTGGTGTGTGCCTCAGTGATGGGTAGGCTTTTCCCACCCTGGATTTCTTGCAGTGAGGAATGGCGTTAAAGGAACCCTGTCACATGCAGCCGCTGCCGCACAATTACCCTCCAGTCTGCTTCCAGTAATAATTACTGCAATTCTTTTTTTAAAAATCCCCTCAGATTTTTCTACTCTTTGATTTACTATTCATGGACAGTTTGAAAATAGTACAGGAATAGCAAGTAGATAAACCAGGCTAGGACTCCAACGTGGCCACTTATTAGCTGGTGGTCTTGAGTAAGTCATGTAAGTTCTTCAGCCTTAGTTTTCTAAAAATCAAAGGAAAAATAACTTAGCTTGTTGAGTTTCTGTGAGCATCAGATTAGGAAATGTTTTGGCAAAGTTGCTTCAAAAAGTTATCAATCACTGTACAAATATTATGATTCTTCCTTTACTAAACTTTTAATGAAAATGGTGCTGTGCTCCAAGTTTTCCAAGCTTCCAGATTTGGCGCATACTGCTAACTAAAGCCTTAACACTGATGGTTTATGATGCAGTGGTGCATACTTACTTTAAATTAGGCAGAATTAAGATCAATTTCACTTAGGAACGTTGTCATGCCCTCTGAAATCACTG